CGTGTGTTCTGCCTGTTGGCAGAAAAGATCCTTTTTTCCCTATTGACATCTGAGCACTACCTCATAACGAGTATGAGGCAAGAAACAGACAGACGTAGGACCTACCACCGCCGTGGTGAGAATCCCTTAAAGACTTGGGTCCGCGAGAAGATGGCAATACTGACATTGGCGTGGTGGTTCTCCAGAAGGGAGCCCTAAAAACTAAGGGGATTAAAGGAGTCTCGTTTGCCAACAGACATGCCTTATAAAACATGGCCAGCATTTGTCGGGCGTTTATAATGAAAGACTGGTTGACACCGGGATGGTCAATATCATGGCAGAGAGCAGCAAGGATGGAGCACATAAAGTCGAAGGAGGATATAATTTTCTTGACCTTGAAATGACAATTGGAAAATAGCCTGCTTGAAGCAAACCCTGAGTTCTTTCAAGAGACAGTATGAGGCCTGTGCCACGTCAGTCGCATGAAGGGCATTGTGGTAGGGATTGGTCTCATGATATAGGTCTTCAATGGCTTCTAAAGTACTCAAAGTGATGCAGTGCCATATTACTAAAGGCGCGCTGCATTTCAAAAAAATCTAATTCAAATTTTTGCAGAAATTTGCTCTTTTCAAACAGGTATGTTGCCATGTGGAGGAGCGGGAAGCCTGCAGTTAATCTTTCCAGTGAGAAAAGATTAAAGTCCCAGTGTAGAGCCGGTCTGAGAATGTTCTGCTGAGGTTAGGAAACAAGAGGGAAGCCGAAATACGTTTCTGCTCCTGAAGTAGCTCTCGTCGAGTATGCAGCGGTAGTCATCGTAGGTCCTCTTGAACTTCAGAGCCTCACGTTTGCAGCTTGATCTAAGGGGCGAGAGACATTGTTTCTATCATTTGGCAATTTACTTTAACAAAGATTGTTTATGATACGGCTTTCAGACGTAAATAAAATAAAATTTAATCAAAATCGCGAGATTTATTAAACAGCAGAATGTAAAAATTCATAAGGGATTTAAATTAAAATGCGTTTAACTTTCTGCTTGGCTAAATTACACTTTGTTGATACTACTAGGGTTAACATCGTTTGGCTTTTCAATGAACTTATATTTTGAGAGGGTTAGTTGACATCAGCATGCCCCGACACAAGCATTTGGATCCTATAGAATATGCAACTAACTATTTTTCCGTAGTGCTACTGTTTCGTTACATATTTTTGCGTCCATCGCAATTACGCGAATACATTCGCGTTGTCTTCTTTGTCCCTATGCGAGCTGCAACGAACGTGTCGGTCATCGCCTCTGCCGCGCCTTGTGCTCCTAAGCTACACGGCACTGTAACGTCCTTCCCTATCTGCGTTCTTCCTCACATCAACTCGCAATAGACCACTGACGACCGTGGCGGGTTCCTCGGTTTTCATCACATTGTCGGCAGACTTGGCAAACAGCAAGGGCGTATCATGGTCGTATTTCCGGCTCTTTGGGATGTTCTTGTGACCTCTGCGGTCTCCTCCTCATGGGACTGTTGGGATAAACATATTAACTGCGCTGGGTTCCCCTTGCCTTGCCTCAAACATTCTCAGCAGCATGTCGGGCGACAGTTTTTTCTCCTTAAAATCCTTCAAATGGCATTCCAACTTCTAGAATTTCCCAGCCATGCCTAGGGACTTTTTTCACTATCTGTTCTTTTTTGCTAAGCTACACCTACTGGCTCGTGCCAATTGTTATGGCCTTGAATAATGCTTACACATGTGTTTATATTACTTGCAACAAGTGAAAAGTCGTGTATGTTTACTTTCACGAACTAACCGGTGTCTGCTCGCCTTTCGCCTGCAAGCATTTGAATGACCCCCTTTGAAATGTTCTGCTGTACGATACACCTCTTAACCGCTGTGTACCAATAGGAAGTTCAAAGGCGTTTGTCTATATTTCCCTTAATAAATCTGACCTGACCTGACTTGACATTCGCCTTCACCCTTACTGTAATTCAAATAAACCCTCCCTGGAAATAGTGTGCTCATATAATTCCTCCAGGAGCATGTTTTGCCCTATTAGTATCACAAATTAAACAACCATACTCCCAACAGCCTGTATGTTCCAATAGACAGGGAAACTTGGAGCCCGCATTTTCTCGTTAGTTCAAAGATTTTATAGTAAATGAGAGATTGTTTACGGAACATATTGATACCTTTGAGTCATTTAATTTAATATGGAGCCCCTATAGACGACCATATAGAGATCAGAAGGTATTTATAAAAATTATTTAGGGAGATAAGGAAGAATGAGAGGGTTATCCCTGGAGGTCAAAACTTTCAACCGCAACCGACAGGACAGTGGGCCCATGGCTTAATATTAAGACGTTGAAAGTATCGCTTAATAATCTCGTTTTTGATTGGACGGATTGCCAAGAGGGACAGAAACAGTACCGACCACTCCATTGATGTCTCGTTTATGCTTTTCCGTTTGGAGCAAAACTAAAAACAGAAAATCTTTTCAGCTGAGTTTTTTTCCACTGGCAATACATTTATGCTTGTGTAATTTTCATATTTGTCTTATTGCTGTTTATCGATGTTTGTTATTTGCACACAAAATTAGATGATATCATATTGCCTTGTGAGTCTGGTTTTTAATCAGCGAGCTTGCAGTAAATGAGGTTCAGTACACCCACACCAACAGTCTCAGAGTTTTTTTGCATTTGAAGCATCATGTGTTCGAGCACAAAGACAAAAGGAAGTCTCTTTTGCTATAGACCAATCGAGATTTGGGTCCAAATTGTGCCTCTGGAAGAGTGACGAACCAGGCCGTCGGTGACAGATCAATCGCTAGTGTTGAGCCTAATATTATTAGTAGTAGAAATAGCGGGAGCAGTTGTAGGGAAATTTTTCACATGACTCTCGAAGCCTCAAAATGAGCTGTAGTATTGTATTAAACCCAGTTGCAGGAACTACATATTTCCCATTTGAACCGAGTGCTGAGTCGACAAATTTTGCAGATCTCCAGAGGGAAACACGCAGATCAGATATTACCCAAACTTACATCGCAATGTGATTGTGAAATTGTTTGGAGACACTGAGTTGACGCCGTCCCCATTTTCTTTGGTCCAATGAACGTCTAGCAATAAATTCGGCACATGTTCATGAATGTTAATTATCGCTAACGTAATGCAACTAAAATCTTTACATCATTCGTACTAAAGTGTACCTACTTCGTTAATGATAATTATGCGTATTTCTCGTTTAATTTTCGTGTAAAAGTTGGAAGGAACATCTGCCCCACTTTTCTTCCTACTATCTAGTACCGGGGTTGGCAACGTATGGCTCGCGAGCCAGGTGTGGCTCTTTTGATGATTGCGTCTGGCTCTTTCAGATAAAATTGGAATTAAAAATGTCAGATTTTGTGATTTTGGTTCCTCCAATGACGTGCCGCCGAGATGTGTATTGGAATCAATTTAATCTCGACCAATCTCTGGCATTTCGGCCCCCTTAGGTGTGGCCTAGCAGCTGCTTCAGTCTTCCTTTTCCTGCTAGCCGACAGCAGCTGCTTCCCTTTTCTTTTGCGTCCCAACGGTCGCGAAAAGCTCGCTAAATAACAGACACACTACTAAAGCACGACAGCCCCCAGGCTTGACCTCAGTTATTGAAGGCCACGCTGGCAGACAAGGCTATTTTACGCGCATAAGCCAGCCTGCCAGCCTGTGTTTATGTCATCCAGACGGACGCATTTATCACACCCAAGCAAACAGTCCATTCGCAGAAACTTGCCTTGTGTACTAATAAATCGCTCCTAATATCTGCCTGTTTTCTTTCACCAGACGGAATACTGTTAGTTTAATGGTTGTAGTAGGTCGCACATCCTTGACCGCTACACACACTCTCTATCTTATTTGTCAAAAATTAACCCCTGCAAAAAAGATGGCGAAAAGAAAAAGAGATGAAGAGTATTGTACATTTCAGGACGAATGAGCCGAAGAATTCGCCTTTGTGGAGAGAGCAGGTTATGTGGTGTGTCTTATTTTCAGTGACAAGATAACATCGATAAAACGGTCAAATGTAAAGCGCCACTTCAACACACGCCATGATACCACTGCATCAAAATACCTTGCGGGTTATAGCAGAAAGAAAGCATGTCAAGAGCTAATGAGCAGGGTGCAAGCCAGCAAGCAACAACTCCACGTATGGACCCAGCAAGGTGGCCATAACTTCGCTAGCTTTGTTGGATCTTTAGCAATAGTGAGGAACGGAAAACCATTCACAGATGGCGAGTATGCTAAAACGTTCAGCTTGATGTAGCCAATAAAGTTCTTGATGATCTTCCGAACAAAGACAAGATAATCAAATGGACACATGACAGGCCTCTGTCGGCGAAAACTGTTCATTAGCGTACCATCATGATGGCAACAAATTTGGAGGAAACGCAAGTGAAAGACATAAACGCAGT